TAAACGCCGGAGCTTCTAAATTGATGTTAGTGCTTTTTGGTTTTTTATAAACGCTCCGGCGTTTATAACCAGATATAATAATCATACTCAGGAATTCAAAAAGATTTTACAAAAAAATTGGAGCATACTAAAAGGTGATCCCCAATTAGATCTAATACTAGAAAATAAACCTAGGATAATATATTCTAGAGCTCCAAATTTAAGTCTATTATTAGCCCCCACTACTAAACAAGAAAAAACACAACAAAATACTACCATCACTACAAACAAATCTTCAGGTTTTTGGAAATGTGGAAAATGTAAAGCTTGCAAAAATAATCCAAATCAACCAATTAAAACAACACAATTTGCTCATCCCCAAACACAAGATTTATTTAAAATTAAATCACAACTGACATGTAACACTGCTGGCGTAATTTATTTGTTAAAATGCCCCTGTGAGAAATTATACATAGGGCGCACTAAAAGAGCATTTAAAACAAGAATGGGAGAACATATTAGAAATATCAGAAATGGACTTTATTCACACAATCTTTCAAAGCACTTTGATGTTAAACATAAGAGAAATCCTGAAGGCCTCATATTTATGGCAATACAGAAAGTAAACATCCCATGGAGAGGAGGCGACTTAAATAAAGAATTAGATAAAGCAGAAGCAAGCTGGATATTTAAATTAGATACATTAGAACCAAAAGGACTTAATATAGATTTTGAGTTGCGAGCATTCCTATAAAATCTAAAATATTTATCTTTTTAAACCTGTTCTTACCTTCTCTTCTTAATATTCAATATTCACACATATATTATTTACTGTTCATTCTCATACTACTGATGAAAGTTTTCTCCATATTAAAAGTCTTAATCTTCATTTGCACAAACACTGTATAATTTTCTAAGATATCTGTATTATCATTTTAATATGCAGTTATACTACTTTTAACATGTTGTTACACCACATAATATTATTATATCCTTTTAATGATGTCACCCTCATTTTCTAAAAATAATGTTATCTTCTAATGAAATATTTTTAGTGAAGTGTTAAATTTTCTTATAATTCTTTTTATAACTTTTTATAATAACTTCTTAGAATTTTCTCCTGTAATGTGTTTTATATGATTTTATATGATGAAATATATTCCTCAAAGATCAAATTTATTATAAGAACATATATGTACAGTATTAAAACAATTTTAATAATTAGAGCAAGTATGAACATAAGCATGAAAGGGTTAACATAAACTGAAGCAGCAATCAGCTATTTAAACCCGTGGGTTCTCCTTGCACAATATCCTCTGATGAAGTGAGCATTAGACTCACGAAACGCGTAAGGACTTCAACACTTTGTGGCACTTATCGCAAAGAAGACCGGGCTTCACTTGGAACGCAGGAGATCGGTGGCACGCACGCGGCTATCCACAGGTCCATTCATTTGCCGGCGGACCGAAAAGAACGAGCTGCAAACACCAGGTTCTCCAGATTCCAGTTAAGCACTTAGACTCTTTGCGTTATTGTAAGTGCACAACTTTTCTTTTTTATCCAATAAACGTATTTTATTGCACTTAGCACTTCGGATTTTGTTTCACTTTCTGTGAGCAACATGGAACTTATCTACTAAACTACAGATCATTAACCATGATCTGTTAGCTATTACTATATTTTTTACTAAGTACACACAATTATATATCAACTGCAAACTGGCTTATATATATAATTTTGTACAATACTAAATTAGCTCATTCAGCTAACATATTCCAGTTCGATCATAACTGGAGAAAGCTGTAAACAGCTAACAAATCACAGACCACAGTGTCATTTTGAAAGAGACTATTGTATCAATACAGAGACATTTCTACTACTAAGTTATATATATTTTCTACATATTTCAGATACATGTTTTAATTAATGCATGGTAACAAAAGGTGAATTATTGTACTATTTGTATTAGATTTCTATTATTGTTTTTTACAAGTTATTCAATATCTGCTTCATATATTGCCCATTTAAAGGAATACCGCCCATGATGATAACCTCAGAAAAAGCTACATGCAAACAGATGAATGGTTTAGAACCAAGTCTGCATCTGGAGCATGCTATGTCACTGCAATGAGAGAATGGGCTAAGGTAAAGACAGAGGAACTACCCCATAAATTAGGAGATATACTACAAGGGAAAGATGAATCTGTAGAAACATTCTTCACCAAACTACAAATGGCTTGGGAGGCATTGGGTTACACTGATGTTGTAACCACTTCGACCAGACTGCTTATTAACTGCATCATGGATGGTATCCACATACCCATAAGGACTGGTCTCCAAAATGCTAGACCTGAGTGGAGAAGTTTAACCTATGGTGATCTGGTGAAGATGGCTAGGGGAGTGGAAGCTAATCTAAATACTAGAAAGAGGAGCATACCTCTAATGGCTGTAACTGTCCCTAGAGCTGGTGGAGACAGAACACAGGTAGACTGCTGGAATTGTGGCAGGAAAGGACACATTAAACGTAACTGCAAGTGTCCTCCTAAAAATAGAAAACCCCAAGATTCTAATGATAACTCCCATGACAGCCAACCACCACCACCACCTCCCCCCCCCATAGGAAATTGGCAAACCAGTGTCCCTACATATCATAAATATCCCTGACTCTGCAGGACCCTCACCCATTATCAATGTTACACTGCCTGGGGACCTAATAGTCCCTTTCCTGTTGGACACTGGCACTGCTAAATCACTGTTACAGGAAAAATATTCCCGTATGAGAAATCTAATAATGTATTATCATGTGTAGGGGTGGATGGTATCGAAAATGACATTCCCCTTACCCACAAGCTGAAATTGAAGCTACAGGACTTTACTGCCCTTGTAACAAGGCTACTTGTCAGCCCTCATGCCCCTGCTAATCTACTAGGCAGTGATATACAGTCTGCTCTTAGTGCAAATATCCAGTATAGCCCCACTGGAAAAGTAACATTGTCTGTGCCTTTAGAGGACAAACAAATGATATCTCTTTCAAATGTTCTGGCAACTCTCACTATGCCCAGCCATGTGCCAGAACCTACTTTTCCTCAGTCCCTGATTCCTTATGGGCTACAGGGAAGACAGATACAGGCAGACTCTCTGTGCCCCCAGTCAAAGTGAATCTCCTGCCCAGAGCCAAACCTCCCTATCAAAAACAATACCCCCTAAGCCCAGCACAGGAAGATGCTATTTCGCAATCTGTGCAAGAGTTTCTGCAGATAGGGGTAGTTGTCCAGACCACCTCCCCTTGTAACACACCATTGTACCCAATTAAGAAAAAGCAAGAGAAAGGGAAACCTGTGGTCTACCGTATGGTACATGATTTGAGGGCAATTAAAGCTGTAACTGAACTCATTGCCCCTAATGTTCTCAACCCACACATCTTGTTGGCACAAATACCACCTTCCCCTAAGGTATTTAATGTTATTGACTTGGCAAATGCATTTTTCAGTGTCCCCCTGGATCCCGACAGTCAGTTTTTATTTGCATTTACACATAAATACAAGCAGTACACTTGGACGGTATTGCCACAGGGCGCACAAAACTCACCCACTATGTACAGCATGGCTATGGCCTAGATTCTTGAAGAGTGGCAAAGGCCAAATAACGTAATTTTATTGCAGTATGTCGATGACCTACTCCTATGTTGCGATAATATGGAATCTTGTATGGTAAACACTCTTTCCTTGCTGAAATTTCTGGCAAAAGCAGGCTGTAAAGCGACAAAAACAAAACTGCAAGCATGTGTAGAGAAAGTTAATTTCCTAGGACATTGCATTTCCCAGGGCATAAAACAACTCACGGAAAGTAGAAAGACTGCAGTTCAAAATATTAGACCCCCCCGCAGTCTAGCCCAGGTTCGTACATTCCTCGGTTTGATATCTTATAGCCGTCCTTGGCTGCGTTCCATAGCTATCTACATGCAACCACTGTATGATTGTCTTGCCAACGAAAACAAACCATTTAAATTATCCCATTTAGCAGAAAATGCCTTCCATACCCTTAAGTTACTGATAACGTCAGCTCCGGGACTGGGTCTCCCAGATTACAGAAAGAATTTTAACCTGTTCTGTACTGAGCAATCAGGTTATGCTACATCTGTCCTTACACAGGACCATGGTGGTAAACAAAGACCAATAGCTTACTACTCCACCAGATTGGACCCTGTTGCCAGGGGTGTAACTGAAACCCTCATGTGTTAGGGCAGTGGCGGCTGTTACTGCCCTCCTGGACAAAGCCACTGATATTGTTTTAGATAATCCGGTGACCATATACACACCGCATGATATCAACAGCATACTCTCACAAGTTCAACCAAAATACATACATACTGCAAGGCATCTCAGAATGCAATGTGCCTTGCTTATGCCACCTAATGTTACTCTTAAAAGGTGTATGGTGTTAAATCCATCTACATTGCTTCCCCTGGATTTAAAAGAGGGGAGTGGGGATAGTGTAAATGGTACTTGTACTTCTGATCTTTTTGTAAATTCACTTTCACCAGATGAGTTAGCTGATGCCCAGGTTCCCCATGATTGTGCAGCAATAATGGCACAAGAAACAGCAGTTTTTTTGCATGTAATTGATTCTCCATTATCTAATGCAGATTTTGAGTTTTTTGTAGATGATTCCATATACGCTGATGAGAAGGGTAATTTCCACAATAGATATGCTGTAGTCTCTACACATGAGGTAATAAAATCTGAACCACTCGCTCCTCACTTCTGGTAAGACTGCTAATATTTATACAGACTCTCGCTATGCTTTTGGCCCTATATGGCGGGCTCGTGATTTTCTCACCTGGAACTCCAATCAAGAATTCTGAAGCCGGGAGTACACTTATGGACGCTATCCTGCTACCCACTCAAGTAGGCATCATCAAGGTGGCAGCTCACGTGAAGATCACAGATGAAATCTCAAGAGGAAACCACAAAGCAGACGAAGCTGCCAAGCAAGCAGCAATCCAAGTTCATCCCTCTACAGGTAAAACCTTCCTACAAGTTGTTCTTAAAGATGACGCCGTTGACTATAATATACTGTTGAGCTTACAAAGACAGGCAAGCAAGGAAGAAACAAGATGCAGAACCTGATGATGACAGAATGTGGAGGAAAGGTAAAAGACTGTGTTTGCCACGAGTGTTGTACCCCATGATGGCCCAGATTACCCATGGACCTACACATCTATCCAAGATGCACATGAACAGCATAGTAAACACCCATTGGGTAGCACCCGGATTTACTGTTGTAGCAGCTAAACACACCCAAGCTTGCATGATTTGTGCTAGAAACAATCCAGGACAGGCTGTCAAAACACCAAGTAAGCACACACCAAGGCCACTTTACCCGTTTCAAAGACTGCAGATAGACTATATTCAACTACCTAAGGTAGGAGTGTATGAATATGTGTTGGTGTGCCTTGATCTCTTTTCAGGTTGACCCAGTGTCGAAAGCCACAACGAAGGTCACAGCAAGTAAGCTTCTGAAGGAACTGGTATGTAGATATGGAGTACCTGAAGTGCTTGAGAGTGGAAGAGGTAGCCATTTCACTGGGGAAATAATGCAAGAAATTATGAAAGCCTTAGGGATCAGTCAGGCCTTCCACACCCCCTATCACCCCCAGAGTAGTGGGAAAGTAGAAAGGGCAAATGGAACCTTAAATAACAAGATTGCAAAAGCCATGCAAGACACAGGGAAGCCCTGGACTGAATGCCTTCCCCTAGCACTCTTTTCTATGAGATTCACCCCCAATTCCAGACATGGCCTATCCCCTTTTGAGATCCTGTTTGGATGTGCCCCAAAGACAGGCCTCTATTTTCCCCAAACCCTCCAGATGCAGCATGGTAGTATGACAGCCTATGTTCAGGCCCTACACCAAAGATTAGGCAGGGTGCATAAACAAGTCTTTGATTCTATTCCAGATCCAGACTCTGATTCTGCAACTCACAAACTGCAACCTGGTGATTGGGTGGTGATAAAGAGGCATGTGAGGAAAGGACTTGAACCACGCTTTGACGGTCCATTCCAAGTGCTCTTGACTACAGCTACCTCGGTGAAACTAGAAGGAAAAGCCACGTGGATACACGCCAGTCACTGTAAACAAGTCACTCCGACTGATCCACTGACATGAAGCTGTTCTTATCCTTTACCTTTTTATGCTGTGTTCGGATATACTACTCTGACTTGAGACCAGAAAATAATATTGCATGGCAGGAAAATATATGGTTGCAGATAGCAAAGGCTTTTAATTTAACCTCCTTTTGCCTCAACCCTCTCCTCAGTACCGAATACTCTGCCCTAGCGTACACCTTGGTAGGAGTCCCAGGCTTAGCACTGTATAATACCCGAGTAGTTAATGCTGTAGCCTGTTCCCTTGCAAAAGGCTTAAATGCTACTTCACAGGCCCTAGAGGAGCTACTTATGAACAACCAGTGGTCCCCCTTGTGAGGGCATTTAAGAAGGCAATTCTTGAGAATAGAGCAGCCATTGACTACTTACTAATGAAACATGACTTAGGCTGTGAAGCTATTGAAGGTATGTGCTGTTTTAACCTATCTGACCATGGCACTATGATCCATAAACATATAAAAGATTTACACGACTTAGTGCAGGATATCAAACAGGATATTGGCTTCTTTGGGGATTGGGATTGGACATTTGTGCTAGGAACATGGTTGACTTTACTAATATAGAAAATTTTGTACTTTTTGCTATTAGCTGTATTTGTCATTATGGCTATTTTTCTAACCTTTAGATTTTTTTCATGTCTACTAACCTCTCTATGTAAAAGCAAACCTACTGTTGGTCATACCTTAACTTACATTCCAGCTCCAACTTCGGAAAGGTTTTATGATGTTACCTCGGCTAACAAATGAAGGAACTCTCCTCCGCTGATTCTGGTGGTCTCTCAGTCCACGGGAACCGTAGTGAAGCAATAAATGAAAGTCCCACAGGCTTTGGTTCGCAGGCCTGGATATACCTTGGACATTTGGGTGACCCTTGGATCAAAAGAGGGGATTGTGATAGAATTTATCTTGATTCCAAGGCTCAAGCTTATAGGTGTCATATAATGATATCCTATATTAAAATTGTCTAACTTGGACTCAGGAAATGCTTGATGCTTAAACAACACTCAAGACCATATATGTCTAAGTTCCGGGAGCAGAGAGCCCCCACCTAAGATGTCTCTGCTCTAATCATTTTGTTCTCTCTTACCTTGAAACTTATTTGTTATGTGTACATGACGCTCATCCCTATGTTTTATCTGTACGCTCTTCCTATTACTGTTCTAAGAATATTTGCACGTAAGCACTTACTGTTTAATGTATAAAACACAACTGATGAATAAAACGTCAGAGGCTTATTTTGAATACCGACAGGTGTCTGGTGTCTAATTCTCGCTTCTCCAAGTGCACTTGTAACAACAATTTGGGCTTCCTCTGAATATAACAAAGATCAACATTTCTGATCCACAACACCATCGGTTGTAGATAGGCACTTAGCGGAACTGGCGTTCCTGTTCAAGTTCAATGGCTGGGTAGATGTGACGAAACATTTCATGGTGAGGCAAGCGGTTCGGGGTTTTAGGAAGGGTAAGAGGGCACGGGACTCAAGGAGACCGGTTTCATTTAAGGTACTGCAGGGGCTGGTGGAGAAGTTACCAGGAATATGTTTTTCCATACTTGAGGTGGCGTTGTTTACGACGGCGTTCGTTTGGGCCTTTTTTGGGGCGTTTCGAATAGGGGAATTGGTTAGCGCCAAGAAAGCAGGGGTTGGCAGGTTGAGATTGGAAGACGTGGCGGTGAGTACAGACAGGGTACGAATACGGATGGCCCGCTCGAAGACTGACGTCTTTGGGAAGGGTTGTTCAGTTACGCTGTTTGAATTACCAGGGTCTGGGTTGTGCCCAGTGGCTTGTAGGGCCGGGTTCATGGAGCTATGGCCAGAGGTCAAAGGATGTTTCTTTATTCACACTGATGGTACAGCGCTGTCGTGCTTTCAGTTTACAAGGGTATTTCGGTTGGGGTTACAGAAGATGGGTCTAGAGCCCTTGCAATTTGGAACGCACTCATTCCATATTGGGGATGCAACGGAGGCTGCGCTCCTGGGTTTAGGGCAAGAGAGGATCAAGTGTATTGGTCGGTGGGAATCGCTACGGTTCCGCACATACGTGCGGCTGGACAAGCTGGCTTGAATCCGAGGAAGTGGGGGAATAGCGGCACAGGGGGAGTGCGCTGCTTTATCTCTGTTTTGTCTCTTCCAGGCTGGACGGCATGGATAATCGGACATTCGGACATTTATTGGGCTCAGAAGAGGGCTGCAGTTAGAAGGAACAGAACACAGCTGGGCTTTCCTTTGGAGCAGGTGGCGATATATTGGTTTGGATATCGGGGTTTTGATTGGCAACACATAAGTATGGAATTATTTCACAAGGTGGCAGAGGGGGCTTTGCCGTATGTGGTAGTGGTTCACGGCGGGGGTAATGACTTGGGGTTGGTTCCGCTACGTGATCTGATCAGGCGTATGAAGAGGGATGTGGATCGGCTGAGGGGGCTGGTCCCTGGTGTGACAGTAGTGTGGTCTGAGATGGTGCCTCGGTACAAGTGGAGTTATGCCAGGGACACAGCCGCGGTAGCCCGATGCCGGGGTAAGGTCAATAAGACCATGGCTGTCTTCATTTGTAGGCTAGGGGGTGTAGTAGTTCGACACCGGGAACTGGAAGAGAAGTTACCTGGATACTTTAGACCAGACGGAGTGCACCTGTCTGACGTGGGTTGTGATCTTTTTAATTTAGTCTTACATGAAGGTATAGCTCAAGCCCTGTTTAAGTGTGGTGGGGGTCGCACATGATCTTAAGGGTGTCAAGTCATGCGTTGTGGTGGAAAAAGGGCTTGGTTAAACAGGAAATTTTGTGGGTTAGGAAAGTGTTAAGCCAAGGTCTAGGCTGGAGTAGGCCGGAGTTAAAGTGTTTGGTAGGTTCGAGCCCGTAGGTGGCTACGGACCAAGGGGTGTAGGGGTGTCTGGGTACACCCCTGCAGTTATACAAATGGATGTGGGGCCTCTTTGGTAGGCCGTGTGTTATACGTTATGTATTATTTATAATGTCGTATTGTTCTTTGGTAGGGTCATGGTCAGGGGTATTTTGCGGGATAGAGCGGAACAAAGTTATTACTGTTGACAATGACCCTAAATTGTTAATTTAAATATTTAATAATTAATAAAGCTGTGGACGTTATACTCCAACAGAATAAATTGGTGTCTGTGTGTTATTTAAGTATAGGTTAGCACATGCTGAATAACGACTGTGAGCATGTCAAGTGTTATAAGCCCCCTGGGGCAAAGCAGTGCACATGGGCCCTGTCTACACAACCACTCCACATGTATAAATATGTAAATTATCAAAAAAATTAAGCTTATATTTTTTTGTACCTCAAACAAATGCAATAGATACATACACACAGACTGCTGAATACACACAGACAGAGACTGCTTATTACACACACACAGTGCTGAATACATACATACAGACTGCGGAATACACAGACAGACTGCTGAATATGCACAGCTTGCTTAACAGGCACAGACTGCTGAACACACACAGACTGTTGAACACGCACACAGATTGCTGAATACCTATGCAGACTGTTGAATACCTATGCAGACTGCTGAATACACACACTTATTATTATTATTATTATTATTATTATTATTATTATTATTACTGGTATTTATATAGCGCCAGCATATTCTGTAGCACATACAATATTATTAAAGGGGAAGATTTAACAATAAATGAAATAATTACAAAAACTTACAGGAACAATAATGTGAAGAGGGCCCTGCTCAACGAGTTTACAAACTGCAGAATTATAAAAACATAAGGTGTGGGCGCTCCTGTTATACAAATGTTGTATGAGTATGATTTAAAAGAGCAAATATAGCTTTATTAGATAAAATTTATGTACTAAATATGATCCACCTCCAAAAGGACTCCCTAATACTTTTAGAGTACAATTCAAGTAAGCATAAGGCCTATGAGACTATAATGCCGTAAGTAACAACTATAGTCACAATGTATCCAATGCGTAAAATTGATAAAACAGTTCGAGGTTGTATCTAGACCATAGATGAAAGAAACATAGATACAAACTCTACACTATCTAGAAAATAAACTAAGTGGAAATCCCTAGTAAAAAAAAGGGGATCGATCTACTAGTGAAAAGAATAAATATAAAAAAAATATGACGTATGGTCACAGTAATTGTATCTCTGTAAGTTCTTTGGAATGTTCACAGTAAGTTCTTTGGAATTTTCCCATGCTGTATAAAATGACACAGAGCACTCTGGTTGGCTGGATTTCAAGCTAACCAATCAGAGTGCTCTGTGTCATTTTACACAGCATGGGAAAATTCCGA